GCACCACAACTGAAGAGTTTTATTTGGAAACCAGCTCAATTCTTTTTTCAAAAATCTTTCGAAAAAACAAATAATTATTTCTTAGTTTAAGTATGGGTTTTTAAAAAGGCAAGATTTTTACTCAATTTCAATTTTTTTATGTTATTAAACAAAAATATGTGCTGTTTGAGTAGCAAAGTAATTTAAGCTGGAAAAAAGAAAAAAATGCAGTCGGAAATCTAACAAATCATTGTTACAAAATCAGAGTTGGAAAACAGCAAAACATGTTTTATTGCTGAAGGAAGCAGATAAGACAGAAACAAAACACTAGAGGTAACAGTAAATAGTGTAGAAAGACCTCTTGGCTCCTCAAAGCAATCAAACTGATCTTGATATTTTTCATTCCGCTTTTCTCAATAATAAATAAGCGTATTTGTTTAGAGAGGTTTTTTTTTTTGCTTTAATATAAATTTGATACTATTTATTTTTTTTACCAGAATTCTGAAACTATACGTTAAGAGCAATCCATGTGAAAAACTATTTATAAGAAAGCGACAAGTCATTCTATTGAATAGTACCACAAAAGAAAAAGATTTAATACTTTATAAAATAAATCGTTCTGATCACACACACACACACTCATTTTTCTAATTATCATCTGGCTTTCATATCCTTACTTCAACAATTAAATTAATATTTTGTTTCATGCATTAAAACGGGTGATTTTCATGTAAGGCAAAAAAACCTTTCAAATGTTTAATTTAATATACTAAGTGAATTTTCCTTTTAAGAGAGACAAAAAAAACTTAAAAAAAACTTTTCTAATTTAAAAAATATTCTTTTTGGAATAATAAAATTGAACAAATTTAAAATGCAAAATGTATCTTAACTGGGTACTTGCACTTCAAGAAGAAGAAGATCACGAATACTTGTACGTATGACGTCAGAGTCAGCTGATCGTTTATAAGCAAAATGGCGCGTTAAAGTTGAGCTAAGTTTATCGACATAAGTTAGAATGTTAATTAGTCTGAAGTTAATTAAGGGCAGCGCCCTTAATTAATTTCACACATGTAATTTGTTGAAATGCAATTCTTTCTCGTCTATGTCTTTTACTTAACTTAGATTTATTATTTGTTCACATAATTTATTGTAACCGTGATATATTTTTGTTTTACGTACCTCGCAACTTCGATACGTAATTTGTTTATTTATGTTCTACGTAGCTTCGTATCTGTCTTTGTGTCTGTACCTCTCAAGTAAAAAATATATAGTTAAAGAATCTTTGTGAAAGAATATAGAACGTGTGGCTTAAGAGAACAGATACTAGATGCGATCGGCTTACTCGAAATAGAATGGAAAGAATAGTTGCTAACATAAACAAATGAAACATTTCAACAACCAATCAGAATCGAGATACCCACACTATGTCGCTTGCAAGTACCCCATGAACAGTCAAGGTTCATTTCAATTTTGTCATTGCTGGTATACGAATTCAGCTAAGTGATGCCACCTCTTTAAAGTACTTTGAAGTATTACACTTTAAACTTTAATCTGGTTTTGATGCTAAGTTGATAAATATAAATAAAATGTTAATAACTTTATCTTAATTAGGGGAATTCCCTTTTACAATCGTGTTAAAATAACAAGACGCAATGCTTGGGGGGGGGGGGGGNTGGGGGGGGGGGGGAGAAATTATGTAAAAAACTCTCTTTAATATAAATTACTGGGATTCTACTGTAAAACAAAATTTTAATACAGGTACGGTTTTTTAAACTATAAATTACACATAAAATGAGTCAAATCTTAATGTGCAAAATTTCCTTTCCTTTTATATTCATTTCCTGTTTAAAAATAATTTTATTACAAAGGGATTGGTTATATATTTTCAATGGGATGTCTGCAAGAAACGTAGGTGGGTTTCTCGATCCTGATTGGCCATTGAAACCTGGCATTTGTTTAAGTTAGCAACTGCTCTTTCCATTTTATTTCGAGTAAGCCTACCCCGAGTATCAATTATCTTAAGTGACACATTATATGCTGTTTCACAAAGATTCTTTCACTATATATTTCTTATTTAACTCAAATATAGGCCCGAAGTACATGCACAAACTAATTATACATCGACGTTGCCAAATGCACAAAACAAAACACGGTTACAATAAAATACCTGAACAAATAATGAATCTAAATTACATAAAAGATGAAGACGATAAAATTTGTATTTTAACGAATTCTGTGTGTGGTACGGCGTTGTATTTAATTAACTTCACATTAATTAATATTTTTAAATACGTGGAGAATTTTAGGTCTACTTTAACACGCCATCTTGCTTCGATCAACTGGCGCAGAGGTCATAGGTCACGTGACTGTGTACCTTTGATCGTCTTCTTCTCGAGTTGCAAATGCCCAATTGCTACATTTATTATAAAAATACAAGAAACAGTTTCTTTCACGCCCTACGTACTTTTATCGTTCTAGTAATGACAATAAATTTCATGAATTTTTGCAAAAAGTAAAACATAAAAAATAAATTTCAACTTGAACAATTTTAAAACTTAATCTACAAAATTAACCTTATAACTATCATCTAGCTGCTTTTTTACTGTGTGAGTTGGAGTAAAAAAAAAAACTTTCCGAATATTTTTGCTCACAATCCAGCGAGTATAAGTTTTTTAAAATTGTTAAACTATTTAAAAGAATATTTTAAAAAGTTTTGAATATTCTTTTTTAGATAGATTATTCAAAATAAAATTTAAAAAAATTAATATTAGGGAAGTAACCTATTCTTCAAATTGATCATTTTGACAATTGAAAATCATTAATAAGGTACCTAAAAGGCTATTTCTACTATAATATCATGTTAATTTGATGGCAAATAGTTTTTTTTTCTTTTTATACGTTCAGAAAATGCACTCGTTGAAAATGAGGCGTAATTACGAGTGAAGTCACTAATGTCTAAGCCACAAAATACAGTAAGCCTACTGCTGTATTTCCATGTCTCTCTTTGTCCCAAACATCAGAACCCCCTCTGTCACGTGCTCCCTCTCTTCAGCGATTTTGACTGTGAAAGAAGGGCTCCTCGTGACAGCTTAGCTAAGTTCTCTTTTCCTGTTGATTCGCGTTTTGTATTCAAAGAGGTAGTGGAGGAAAATTCAATCAGAAGCATTGAGATTAGCAGAACAATAAAATATTGGATAACTGTTTTGACAAGACATTGCTCCATAAAAAAAATAAAAAAATTATTTAGAATTCCTATGCATAAACTGAACGAAATTGTTTAAATTCTTACAAAATTAAGAAAATTTAAATTTCTGAATGGTTTTAAAAGTGGCAACAATGTATCATTTCATAAAATTTATTAAAATTTGATTGAGTAGCTTTCAAATTATCTGAAGCTGTCTTGTAAAATTTACAGCTTTTTTTTAAAATTCGATTACTAAGAAGCTATCCAACCAATTTTACTCAAAGTTTGGGTTTTGCCACGTAAATTTACAATCTTTAAAATGATGTGTAAACAGTTGCATACCTTTCAATTCAAAATTTTTTCGACTATTATTAAATAAAATTATAAAAAGTAATAAATATTTACTAACATTTCTTTTATCACGTGGAATTATTTTTGGATAAACGAATTTTATGCAAAAAAATTTTAATTCGCATAAAAAGTTCTCGAGATATGGCGAAGAACACAAAATGCAAAATTAACTTTGAACCGCTTTCCTGATCAAACTATGGGAACTATATTTCTCAGATTGCGGCTACTCCCTATATTTGGGGAGTCAAAAATCTGAATCCATTGAAAAAAAATGGTATGTTTATTCAGAGAAAGTACGCTTTTGTGCCTGATTTCGTAACTTAAAATATCGTTTGCGCTGATTAATTAGTATATTTGAGATCACCCCCTCGAATCATTATGAATGAGTCCTAGAGCGGGAAGATCCGATCATTAGACCAAAAGTAACTTAAAATGGTCCAATTTTTTTTTCTTTTTTTTTTAGACGCACTGTACAAGAATTTCTTTAAATGTAATTTTTGAAATGGGGTAAACCACGTGAAAGCCACGCTCTACCAACAGATTTATTTTATTTGATGTTCTAGCCAAGTTTTGCATGATCATTCTTTACAATATAGTCTAGTTAAAATATTTTTTTTCAGCTGGAATACCTAAGCCAGTATTTTAGTTATGCAGCTATTTGTTTAATGAATCGTTGGCTTATAAATGTAGGTTTCTTATTTAAATTCAGAAATTTTTTACTTAAATTTTAATTGGTAGAAATAATTTTCAGCTTTAATAATGCCACAGATTAACATATTCAATAATAAATACATAATTTTACCACATTAATGTTTTAATCCAACAAAAACGACGCAATGAAACTTACAATTTTAAAGCATTGATTATTAAACAAAATCTCATCTTCTCTAGGGAGTCTGTGAATTACATATATAGCACATAGCAAAACAAAAAATATATACATATATATATATATATACGGCAGTATCCAATTTTTACCCTTGAATCCCCTTTTCTCAATGCCAAATGTCTAGTGTTGAAATACACAAGTGGGCGACCTTTGTGCTAAAAACTGCACTGAAACTGCACTTTGTGCTAAACTCTGTTGCACTGATGAAGGTTGCCCTTTGAGCATCCGAAGCAGCTCTCTGCTTTTAATAATATTTTTGTGCTCTTTAACGTTGTTTACCTTAGTTAAATTGTTTACCTTAGTCTATTGAGTTAAATTGTAAGTTAAATTGTTAAATATGTTAAATTGTATTTTATCACTGTTTTTTAAAATCTTCCTGGAATAAAATGGAATTTTTTTCTATCTGATGTAGTGTAGTATTAAACATGATTACAGAATATTAATTGCAATTATATGAAAATACAGTCTCAAAGAGAAAAAGTCTTCATGATTTTGTTAAGTCTTTTATTTTCTTCCTTTCATAATATTTTATTTTATAGGAATCTGTTTAATCTTGATAAACTGAATTCCTAAAGCCATGTTACTATTTTTTTTCAGGTAAAGATGTTGAAGGCTTCCATGGTGGAGACCTTACTAAATTAGAACAAGAAAAAATTTGTTTTAATTTCACGGACGGAAATCCAGAAAAACACGAGTTTTATTCTCCAAATTTTCCTAATAATTATCCCAACAACACAAGGTGTGAACTACAATTAAAAGGTAAATAACACTCATTAAACTATATACATAAATTCATTTCAAACTGTATCTAAGATCTTAATTTATAAAGGAGAAACAAAAAAGGACATAAGCTAAATATACAACTGCAAATATATTCAAAATAAATTCTTCCCACGTCATGGTTCACGTTCATAGAAGCTAAGGCTACTTAATTTCGTGAGTAACGATATGATTGTGACAAAGGGATCAAAATTGAGCACAATACCGTGGGTTTTTGAATTTGAAGTTTATTCTAACCCGTTACGGTATTTTCTATATTTTATTGAAAAATTCTTATTAACCCATTACGGTAATTTAATGCCGTCTCTGCATTTGTCGGGGTGTGAAATAAATGTTTTTTTAATAAAACAAGCTAGATATAGCTTGATACGTTACAATACCTATCAATCGGAAGCTGAGTGGTTGTAAGCCGTCACTGATGATCAGAACCATAATGAGTAACATATATATTCACCGGAATTAAAATTACATAGGAATTTAAAAAGTCAAAATTTTATTATAAACATAAAATTTAAGTTTTAAATTGACATTAATTTGATTTTTCTAAATGAATCAGTTTCTAAGAATAAGTGCAATTCTGCGAAGTCACTCAAATAATCATTGACTTGGCACTGAAGGTAATACTTGTTTATGGTATTTCTATCAATCTGAAGCCGTGTAGGGTGAAAGCCGTCACTGATGATCAGAACCATAATGAGTAATATTACATACAATTAAACTTACAGAATTAAGACAATTTATTACAGAATTAAAATTACATAGGAATTAAAAAAGTCAATTTTTTATTATAAACATAAAATTTAAGTTTCAAATTGGCATTAATTTGGTTTTTCCAAATGAATCAGTTTCTAAAAATATATGCTATTCTGCGAAGTTACCTAAACACTCTTTGCTACATTCTTTTTATGTTAAGTCTGTGATTAAATTCTGCTACAAATATACACAACTTAGAAAAAAGTTTATGATAAACGTATAAATTAGTCACAAAAAGTTTTAATATTCAAATAAAGCTAATTTTAAATTAATTATGCTCAACAAATTTGTTATTATAATGTCGATAGTTTGCTATTTATCGATGAATCAAAATTATCTCAGCAAGCTGCTCAGTAAGAAATTTTCAGTCAGAATTTTCTTAGTGAGTAGCTTGCCAAATTACAACTGCATTTCTTAATCTTTATTAGCATTAAACATTTCAATTTTCTTTTCCTTAATTAAAATCCGCATCTCTTAATTTTTATCAACATTGCACATTTTTTTCAAAATTTAATTTTTCTTAATTAAAATCAGCATCTCTTAATCTTTATCCACATTAAACTTTCTTCAATTTATTTTTCTTAATTGCAACCCGCATCTCTCAATCTTTATCTACATTAAACATTTTTTTAGTTTAATTTTTCTTAATTAGAACTCACATCCCTTAATCTTTAGCCTCATTAAAGCCTCATCTTTATCAACATTATACAGACATTTTAATTAAATTAATTAATCATGATTCGCTTAAATTTGTTTCAGCATTTAAATTCAGTTATCCTACTGTTGAGTTCTGATATACTTTTTAGCCCCTTGAAATTTTTTAGATTAAAGCTCTCTAACTCTTTGACGTAGAAATTTTATTAGACATATATTTCATAGTTTTTTTTCCCTATTTTGTATTAATTTAGGTTAAAATAATTTTAAAAATTACATATAATAATTTATGGTTATGAAATACAACATAATACATCAATGTCTAATTTTGTGTTGAAAGTAAAATCTCTAAAACACGGCTCACTTCGAAACAATAATTCTTTAACTTAGCATTTTCTTTCAGTTATTTAAATCCAAGAGACAACGTTATGCACCATTGAAATTTCCTTAATGTACAAAATCAATTATCGATAAAATTTCGAAATAAATAAACAAAATTAAGCAACTTTTTTTAAATTTTATGTTTTAGCGCAAAATTTATTTCAATTTTATTAACTATTAGGGTGTTTTTATAATTAAAAAACATCAAAATGTGTTTTTGTTTGTATTTAGAGCATCAGGTAAAAAATATATAAAAGGGGCAATGGTGTCTCATCAGCGTCAAATTGCTAATATGAATCCCTAATTTTTTTTTCTAATTAAAAATATTTTTATAGCAGCTGTGGAATTTTAAATTATTCTCCTGCATCCAAAAAAAATATTTATATTCTGATATTCAAGATTAATTCATGTATAGAAAATAAACGATTTCTGAAGAAAAAAAATTGTAAAAATGGTAATTTTCAAATTTTAAATTTATGTAATGTAAATTGAACAGTTCAGGAAAATACTCATGCATTTCTTTGACACGTAAAACTGAAATTGAAATTTTTAACTAAGACATCATAAAACTTTGATAAACTTTTGTTTAAATACGGCTTATAGTTTGAACAAGGTCAGGCATCTGAAGAGAAATAAATAAATATTTACTAGTTAATAATATTAATATTTGCTAAACAATTTTTACTGAACACTAGCTGAATACTCGTTCCTCGTAAGGGGTGAAAAAAGTAAACAATCAATATATTAGAACTGAACAACACTACAATATCATGCACTATACTAAAAGACATATACAGACGCCACGAATAAACATTAAATAATGATATTTTTTATTTATTATATATTTTGTCCTTCCTGGTGCACTGTAAAAAATTCCGCATCAAATTGCAATACAAATTACTGGCACTTTGGATTCATCATCCGTAAATTCCATTTAACCGTAAAATCTGCCGTAATTTTTATAGTAATATTTATTTAATTAGAGTAATTTAGTAATTTTACGGTAATTATTACTGTTAAAATTACGGTAGATCAGATATTTGCTCCGTAACGTCTTCCGATAAAAATGGATTTTACAGTGAAAAGTACTGGCACCTAGAATGTCAAGACTTTTTACCGTAATTTGATCCGGATTTTTTTTTCAAGGTGGGCTTTACGTTATTATATTAAGTTAAACGCATTTTTAGTGGTTCATTCCACCAGAATAAAGATAAACTATGTTCGATATCATTTGACATGATGTTGTTACTCGACTCCTGTTGCTGATAGTCAAAATTTACCACAATCAAGCGACTTCATCCGGTACTTACTCCTTTAAGGGGACCTAAAGAACCTCTTTCCACAGTATCTATATTAAAACTTCCAAGTACTGATTCAGTTTAAATTGGTGTCAAATAAACATGATATATTGTACCTATATTAGTATATTTGGTACCGAATAAAACTAGACCAATTGCCTTAATAGTAGTAGTGCATATTACCGAAATTAATTAAGTTTCATTCACGTCAATAATAGTATAGCGACTTTTTATGTTTCTTTAAAAGAAATCAGCACTTTTTCTCCATTAATTTTGCGCGTAGAGTATTTAGCTTGTTCTCCAGTAATTTACTTGTGACGCAGCTAATGTTTTAATTTTAATTAGTACTTTTTACCAATATTAATTAAGCCTTATTGGCGTTAATAATACTAGGGCGATTTTTTACGATTCTCCTAAACGAATTTGTACCACTTCTTTATTAATTTTGCTATTTAGTTCGTAATTCATTTTTTTTATTTTAATTGGTACCTATTACCAATATTGATTAAGTATCATCAGCGTCAAGAAAAACACGGCGATTTTCCACGCTTCTCCTAAATAAACATAAGACTAAATAACGTCTCCTAAATAAACGTTCTCTCCTAAATAAAATATAACGTTTCTCCATTTATTTTGATTTTTAATACGTAGTTTTTTTTATTGCAATTAGTATCTATTTCCAAAATTAATCAAGAATCATTTTCATCAATAATACGCAGGTGGATAAAATTAAGAGATGGAAGAAAATTTTCCCAAATATCTCAAAAAATACGGAATATAAATAAATGAAATTTGGTATGGATATAGCTTATTCCATGATAATAAAGTATGCAAAACAAAAATGAAAGTGCCATTCACTGGCAAGACCTATTGCCAATAAATCCAATGTAGTCTGAACTTAAGGATAGAAGATGACAGTAAGAGTGAGACTTGTACAGTAGTTGCCTCCAGTATGGTGACCCCTGACAGATAGACAGCATGCACAACGAGTATGCATGCTGTTAATAAGGGAGTTAAAGAGGACTTGTGGAAGACCCTCCCATTCTTCTACTAGAGCAATTTTTAACTCCAGAATGGTTCTGCGGGGAGGTTGGCGCATCGCAATAGCTCTCCCAAGAGCATCCCAAGCATGTTCTATAGGATTCAGGTCAGGGGATTTGGCAGGCCAATCCATTCGTTAAATATCCTCGCTTTCCAGATACTCATCAACCATGAGAGCCCAATGTGGTCGCGCATTGTCGTACATAAAAATGAACTCAGTGCCAACAGCGCCCCTGAAAAGACGCACATAGAGCTCTAGGACCTCCTGTCTGTACCTCTGGGCATTCACGGAACCATTGTCAAACACATGGAGCGGTGTGGTATCCTGCATGTGCGAATGAATGTACGAAAATGCTTTCCATCTCCTTATTTTGACCACCATTGTAGTATAATTGACGATTTTTGTTTCTCTTCTTAACTAATTAGTGCTATTTCTCCATTAATTTCGCAGATAAGTACATAATTTTATTTTTTATTTCACTTACCATTGTTTTAGTTTCTTAGTTCGATGAAAGTACATTTTAAAGACGTAACTATAAGCAACATAAATAGATGGTTTGAGATAAATTCCGAGATACTAATTTAGTGGCGTAGTCTGCCTTTGTTCCTTGAGTTACGTTGATTATTGTGTTAATTTGACATAACGAATATAAAATAATTTATATTAAAACATGTAATAATCCTTTTTCATTGAGAGCTATAAGCTAATAAACAATATCGTCGAAATAAAATATAGCTATATATATAGCTGATAGAACGACAGCTGTATATAATATACTATAATATACAGCTATCGTTGAAATTAAAAAAAAATGAAATCTTCTTCAATTTAATTTTATCAAGCACGAGTTCTGAACCTACTGAGAAAAAAAGCGAAAAGTACTAAGCGAGATTATATCATAAATTGAACAGTTAAATTATATAAATAATAATCATATTTAAACTAGTTTACTATTCAAAAAAATTATTCAATTGGCAAAAATTTGGCCTTTAAGAATAACTACTTTGCTATTGTTATCATTCTCCTTATTTTGTGCTTTTTTTTTACCCCGAATTACAATTACGTAAATTTAATCTCTCCATATGGGCATCTTAAGAACTTATTCATATACCAGTTGTGTATCTGAAAGATACTTTGTGAAATACTGCTGCTTCTGTGTTTTAGTCTTTTTCTTTCTGTTTCAAAAATGTTTAAAACATTCTGTCTTTGCTTTATTTGCCATATAAATATTTGCAGAAACATATTTCAACAGAGTTTATGCTATCTTTTTACATTTTTTTTTGTTCAATTTGAAGCTTAAAATACAAAGTTTTAATTTTTAAAAACAATAACAATAATAATAACAATGCGCAAATAAAGTGATTCAAGAATTAGTTAATGATATTTTTTTTAATTCATTGACTAGATATGGGAAAATTTCATAATTAATTATATTTAATCGCAATCTGCATTTACTTGGCATTCATTTTTTGTATGTTCAAAAGTGTCCTAGCTTTTTTATTCAAATGTGTCTCATCACATATATTTTAATTTTAAAAAGGACAACACTATAGGTGGTTATTTCAAAAAATGAGCATATTGATTAAAAACTGGAGATTTAAATATTTATCAAGGAATTCAAACAATTAAGTTCAATTGTACGCTGCAACTTTATTTCATAAGCTTCGATTCAAAAGTTAAAAATAAAGATTACTTTGCGTAGATTTCAGCTTTCAAGAAATTTGTTGAATTTGATTTAATGCTTTAGATCACGACTTCTCAAACTTTTCGGACTCCTTTCACTGGTAATAATACGGGTCCATGTCATATGATATGCTTAGACACTTGCAATTGCTGATTATTTTATATTTAATAAACTAACCATCCCATTCCTAAATAAATGAAGGAAACGTATAATAAATAAATATAAGGTAGGTAGTTGACATACTCTATTTACGAAATCCGAAATATAAAAGTCAAATTTAAACGAATAGGTAATAAAGCGAAAATTCAAATATTATAAATTGAATATCAAGTCAACTGAATTAATGAAAGGCTGTTTTAATTAGCAAAATTTTGAAATAATATGTTTAGAACAGAGGTAGCTCAGGGGAAAGAGAGCACACCTTCCAACGATGTGAACCGGGTTCGAATCCCAGTGATGTCTGATCGAGACAAATTCCGCACCCAGCTAGCATCGACCACAGCTCTAACGCAAAAATATCCTCAGATCACGGATTAGAGTATGCCCAAGTTGCCAAGCTGACCATGGAAGGTTTTTGATGTTTTCCTCTCCATGTAACGCAAATACCGGGTAGTTCCGTTATTAAGTCCTCCATGAAAGCAAATTTTTCACAATACCTGACCAGAAGTTTCCTTCTGAATTGGGTTCAAAACTACAAAGATGTAGAGTTGAACATTGGTTGTCGTAAACCCAGAAAACGGGTCGGCTGTTCAATGACGGTAAGAATATAAAATAATATGTTTAAGATTTGATTATTGGAGAGAGATGTTAGGTTCAGCATCTAAATAGTTTCTTTATTTAATTTTGTTTTCAACATAGACTGGGAAAAAAATTGTGATACTTCTTCTCTTGCAAAATGGAAGTGCTATATTCTGCCAGCTTGGTCACTTGTCTCAATTATTTTTGCCATTATTTTTGTTTCGGGTCCTTTTTAATATTAAGTTTATTTTTTCATTTTACTATTATACTTGGAAGCGATAACTTTTTCTCACGGTTTACTATGGATCCTCCAGTTAGGACAGAAAAATCCCAAGGGGTCCACGAACCTCAGTTCAGCAGGAACCCCTACTTTTGATTAACAATTGCGCACTCGTTTTTATATCTGAACAACATTTTTAATTTCAAGGTTAAAATTTAAGGTACTGCAAGGATAAAATTTGATGTGTTCAAAGGTGCTTCCAGTCCAAGGATGCCCCACTTCCCCCTATATAGAACAAAAAAAAAGTCATGATAATTTTATTTGATAGTCATGATAATTCAATTAATCTATTCATTGTTTCAAATGTTTTGCAGCTCCTCACGGTCACGTTATACAGCTGGATTTTCGAGAAACGTTTCATCTGGAGGAATCAACAACGTGCGAATACGATTGGCTAGAAATAAGGAATGGACCTCACGGGTACAGCCCCCTCATCAAAAAGTGCTGTGGCCACGAATTTCCGCCCCTGCTCACATCGAAGGACAGGTTCCTATGGCTCAAATTCTCCTCCGACGACAGCATAGAATACGAAGGTTTTAAGGCCATCTACGAGTTCATTAAAATTGAAGGTACGACACAATTCTACAAATTTTAGCTTTTTTTTTTCCCCTGTCCTTCAAATTAAACTATGTGATTCTTGTGACACTTTATATACGAAAAGTACTTGATTCACTTATCAAATCCAAAATGGTCAATCACGTGCCATCTTTGTAAGAGAAAAGTTGCCAGGTTTCTAATGAGTTCTCAATATCTCGCCTCCTAATCAATCTAGTATCTTGAAACTTCGAAACCTATATTTTTATTATTTGAAACATATTCGCAATATAAATAGGATTGAGATATAGTATCATTAAAAGTTTACAATTTCATGACCAGCAGCAATGGGGTCAATATTGCGCGTCAATTTCTTTAACTATCCAGGCAATCTAATACTTATCGATTTGATATAGATTGAGCCTTAAGTCACCACCGGGAATCGAACCGCAATACTACACAGCGCTGTGCTTTAAATCACAAAGCCAACACGTCTCACACAACATGTGTGTCGGTAGTACAATTTCGACAGTACATCCAAATTAATCTATAATGTTATCATTAGTAAAATACGTATTAAAAAGGAAAAATTCTGTATTACAGTCTGTGAAAGTATTTATGTATATACATCATATTATATGGATAAAAAATAACAGATTGTTTAATGACTTGAAAACAACCTAGTAGAAATTTTGTCAAAATAGTGTACTTAGAATCATTTTATTTAATAATGTTTACACAATAATAACTTTAAAATAAATGTTAATAGCATTTCCATACATAAAACAAACAAACAAGTTATAATGAAGCAAAAAGTAGTTATGATTCTATTCAATCGATATGGATTGAGATTCTGGCTCCAATATTTTAAACTTTTGTAAACCCCTGATATCACCATAAACAAAAAGATAATAAAAATAGTATTCGGAGAAATAAAGTCAGTTTTTTTAGTTTTAAACAATATCATTTATTTCACTAATTCAATTTAAATTCCATACCTCAAAATAATGAAATATTTGTAATAAATATTGGCAATCATTTTCAGTTTTTCCTTCTTCCTTAAAGAATGAGAGAAATATTTTTAAACAACCAACTCATTTTAAGCCTTTCTCCAAATTCAATTTTTCCTGTTCTAAAGTTTAAATATTTTCTTCCGTTCACGTAGTCCCATTTGTTTTACTTAAAATTCAAGTATGTGACAACTGAAAAACATGGGAAAAGGGAAATATCTTCTAAAAAAAAAACTTACAAACAAGAAGAAAATCCTCAATAAGAACTTTCCCCTTTACAATGTGGAAAGTATATTTTTCGGGAAAAATAAACGGATTACGCTTAAAGAAAATTCTGAATCCATATATTTTTATTAATGGACGCCAATATATTTAAGTTTTCTTTTTTTTCATGAGTTTTGCCCCACCCTATCTAAAAACTCTATATTATATTTTTTCTCCTTCTTTCTTAAGCAGGTGGCTGTTGCGCGCACGTCATTAGTCATCGTCAAGTTAAAAGAGGGCGTCAAAAGCTGAGAAGCGAGCCTATACTATCAATCAAACCCTATCCCTCGAATAAACTTCTTAAGGAATTCCGTTTAATTGTTAGGCTTCTTATAAATACAATATTTTCAGGCAAAAAATACTAATATACACAAAAATTTAAAATATCCATGGATAATTTCGATAAAATGTAAGAAGTTCTTCAACTTCTGCTAGAATTATCGGCACGTTTTTTTAATATAGCACATTTCGCACGCTAAAGCCTTCTTTTTATTGAACTATACTTATATAGTTTGCAAAAAATTAATGAACGGTGCATTCTGATTGGTCAAATCATGTGGTATGATACAGTATTCCCACGTGAATTTCCAGACTTCTATGGCATAGTCATCAGCATAAAATTAATAAAAGTTATAATGGTATAGGTCTCCCATTACATGCTGGCGTGTGTAAAGTGAGAGTTAAGGGAACTGGTAGAGTTTATTCCAGTAATTATGGGGAAGAAGGCAAAAAAAATCGAAGCGAATAAGAATCTGAGAAAAGTGAATACAGAGACCTAATTTGGCACGCGCTTTACCTTTCCCCACCTTTTAAAAAGTGAATTCTTCCGCTAAGCTTGAGGTGGTTGAGTAATACGATTTTCCTGCAACACTTATATGATCGTATTTTTTATTCCGAAGAACCGATTACACAGATCAGTCGGTGCAATAAAATTAATTTTGCTATTATGCTGAAGCAAATTTCAACCAATCACAAAGCTCAAGTAGCACATAATATTAGAGAACATCAGAAAATCCGTAAAATCTAACGTTAGCTTGCACAACTTCTAATATTAGAAAGATGAAAGTGGTCACATTATATAATATTGGATTATATAATTGGATTATATAATATTGCTCTGCATTATATAATATTAGATTCTAATCAAACTAATATTATCTAGCTTTCGCCATAATATTATTTTGCATTAGTTTTGAGACTATCTAATATTAGATTTTATATTTTCTGATATTATCTTGCGCTGCTTTTTATTTTATGGAGTAAGCAAGAGGAAGATATGGATGGTAGTAGAATAATTCGACGATATAATTTTACTTAATTTTCTGTATTGATGTGAAGCAGTAAAGCATAGAACAATAGTTTTATAATATCATTCTATGCATTATTTACTTTGCAATACAGAAATACAAAATAAAATTATAAGCGATTTCTGCTAACCATCCATTTTCCTCCTTCTTACTCCAAAGTATATCTTATGTTCAGCTGAATTTTTTTGAATATTTCAAATTTAATTAAGACATAATACTATATCGCAACCTTTATTGATATTTTTTTCTTTTCTTCATACAATGAGTTTTCTGATGAATTTTATATCATTAATAATTTTAAAATCATTAATTTAGAAATTAATTCTTAATTTTTTTTAGAAATGAGCCTTTTTTATCAAAATTTTAATTGAATTTGTTAATTTGCAAAACATTCTTTATAAAAGTCGTATTAATTAAGCCATTTGTAATTTCGCAATTATCATTCATTATTTATATTCTGAAATTATTTTATAAAAACCACACTATATAATTTTAAAGTTATATATTTACAATTGAACTCAGTGGAATTTTTGACTTAAAATTTTTTCCCCTTATAATCTTAAAATAAAATTGTTCAATTTTTAAGTTTCCATTTCTTGTAATTATTGACACAATAAAGAACATAATTTAAAAATATTCAAATTACTTACTTCAACAAATTTACACATATTTTCTTCCACTTCTTTTTTCACTGAAATTAAATGGAGAAATATTTAAGTAGCTTTATTCTTTTAGTATCTGAAATTTTATTTAACAAAACACCTGAAACAAAACCGAAACACAACGTAGAAATTTTTCCAGGGAATTAAATCATGAAAGCAACTAATATTATGAAAACTGCTAATATTTTTTTGTAAAATGTATGTAAAAACTACTTTTATGGGCACATCAGAAATTTTCATCAATTCGATAATTACTTAAAAGTGTTATGTACTAAACCAACAATCTTTGCAAACTCAAAACTGTGAGTAAATATTATGTTTTATCTAAATTAAATTTGCACAAATATATAATTGCATACAAGAATGAGACGAAAAAATAATAACATTTTTTTCATTATCTTTAAAAAGTTGCCTTTAGTATGAATGATCAAAATTTAACTACAATCCATTACTCTTTTGAGAACGTTGCTATAACAAAATAGACTTTTGTTTAAAACAATTCCATTGCTTGTATTTCGCTAAATGTAGATTATGTGTTATGACATAAATAGGTTTAGAAAAAGCAGGTGTAATATGTAAACATTTTAAGCAGAGCTTTTCAGAAAATGGAATTCAAAAAATTAAGCAGACGCTGCAGTCAAGTTTCTGGTATTGATGAATTAGTCATTAAAAAAATTAAGTTAGGCATTTAAGAAACTTCCGCAAAGAACTTTACAGATGAAAATTTAAACAAGAGTCTTCTCTACATTGGTTTGAATTTTTTGCTTTTACAATATTGTAAGTAAATGTTTAGCTAAATTTTAAATATTAGGCCAAAGAAATGTTTGCTATTTTCATTATTTTAAACATCATAAGAAAATATAGATACACTTCTTATCTCAAATTTGAACCGAATAATTCAAAATTAAAGTAATAAATACAATGATAGTAGTATAAATGCTCATAAGCTATAGTTAATGTTTAACAATGATGTTAAAATAAAATTGTTTCCGATATCTTGAAAATTTAAAGGAAACTGAATTTCAACTATATCTGTTTTCATAATACTTAAACATTACTATAAAGACTATAAAAAATTTTCCAACATTATATTTTATTAAGTTTCATTAATGAACACATATCTGCAAACCCCATTTTCTAAAATTCAGAATAAATTACACAATGCAGTAGTTAAGAATAAAATAATAAGTGGAATAAAATCATGGCAAACATTATTTCACAACTTAATTATTTTATTTTAAAGCAAAACACAATATAAATATAAACTTCACTCAACTATAAAAGCAATATATTCTTACCGTCATTGTTTTATATAAACATATCGATAATCCTTTGGTAAAATACAAGTTAAGAACACATATTTGTCATTAAATAAAATAATTTTCATTTTTATTCGAAAAAGCAACTGTTGGTTATCATTTTAATCATTATTTTTAAATAATAAAAATATTCCAAAACTTAACAGTTTAAAGTTTTTTTTTCCCTTCAATTGCAATTTTTTGTTCATGTGCAACTATATTTCAGAACAATAAACTGGGGAATCTTTGCTTTATTGAAATATTTAATAAAAAGGCCAACAACAGTTAACAATGTGTATACCACACAAACAGCAGGATTGAATCACACAGGGATGCGCCTTTCTTCAAACTTCTACACAACAACAAATAAGAGGAATTTCAGCTCCAGCAGATTTAAAGAGAACCTAGCAGCATATACACGCCAGTTGTTTTATTTTCTGTCAGGATCGAACTTGTTTTCTACCAGATTGTCATTTTACATTTGCATTGTCCAG